CCCGGCTCCCGGCAGCCGTCGGCCTCCCCCGGCCGGTGGTGGGCCACGGAGGCAGATGAACAACCGGGAGCAGAAACATCCCCGTCGCCCTGCACAGGCAGCTCCGCAGGGGCGGATGGGGAGGCTCCAGCCAGTGCCACCACATGTAGATGTGGTGGCACTTAGGGACGTGGTTTAGTGGTAGACTTGGCAGTGCTAGATTAACAGTTGGACTCAATGATCTTAAACGTCTTCTCTAACCGAAATGATTCTATGATGCTATGATTCTTTTTTCCAGATAGTTGACCCCTTCGTTAACTGAATCTTGCTGACTTGCTGAGGCCCTTGGGTCATGCTGGCACATATTTCCTAACTGTGGAGGCCTGAAAAGGCCTATGAAGTGTTCGCTGGTTTACTGCCATATTACCCCGTTGAGGCGTATAGACTCACACCATCTTTCTCTGAAAGTCAGGAGTTACGGCAGAAGGGCCACCGATGCCCTGGGAGCTCAGGATCCACCGCTGCTGTGTCCCTGCTATCCCATTACCCATTCTTGCTGCTAGACTTACAATCATTTCCAGTCATCAGTCCAAGCCCTTCCACCTCCTCTTCTCTTCTCTTCTCTCCTCCTCTCCTCCCCCACTTCTTCTCCTCTTCTTCTTCTCCTCTTCTCTTCTTCCCCATCCCCTGATGCACTCAGCATCACTCCTCTGGCCTCCACTTGTGCCATCCAGGCCTCGTTCCAGCCTCTCACCAATTTGCTTCAATGTAATATCAGCTGAACCCTCACATACACAACCACCAATGTTAAGAAGCCCAACTAGACCTCAGTGCTGTCCCAAGCAGTTTTCTTATCCATCCTCCCATGCCTGGGAGCCATCCCCACCGGTCAAAAGTTTTTTCTCCCATTATTTCATGCAGTATCTGAAGTTTACCTCAAATTTTATGTACATCCGTTTCTATTCTCTGACCTTGTTCTGCACATGTACAGCACGTGCTGTTGTCCCACACACCCCCAGACCACGAGCAGCCGGCACGGACCCGAGAGCCGCTCCGGTCTGTGGGTACTGGGGCCTGTGTCACTGCGGCCGTGAGGCTGGAACAGCGTCACCCAGAGCACCCACACCCCCTCCCATGGCAGGGGCCTTGGCGCTTCCTGCTGCGGCTGGTGCTCCGCACAGGGAGGATGGCTCATGCAGGCAGGGGAAGCAGCATGCATGGGGCATTTGCCACTTTGGTTACGTTTAATCAGCTGGTGGGTGTGTGAAACATGAGCAGGGACATTTTTGGCTCCAGAGGCACCAGGGATAAAACCCCGAGAGTCCCAGTACCTCCCTGTGGTGGGGTGAGGTTTATAAGCCCAACCAGCAATGCCCAGACAGCAGGAGAGGGATTGGAGGGTGGGCTTGCATTTGCCGAGGGAGTGCGAGGGCCCATGGGGTTACAGGCACAGATCGCGGGAGCTGGTGGGTCTGGGGTGCTGCGAGTGCCAGTGTTTACCAGCCCCTCGCCTTCCCCATGGAGGGTGCACGGGCGCTTTCACGTCACCGTGTGCTTGCAGGCTGGCTCCTCCGCAGGTGTCTGCTCTCGCTGTACTGCTGTCAGCGCCCACACCCCCACGGTCCCAGCACTGGGTGTTACTGGGCTGCAAACACCTTTGTCCATAGGCCTTGTAGGTGTCATCGTGTTGACCTGTACTGGAGCCCAGTACAAACCAGTACCACCCAGTAGAGTCCTGCCTGGCTACTGGAGCCCAGCCTGGTGTCTGGGGACACGGGGTCTCTGTCCCGGCTGAGGGACATGGCTCTCACTTTCCCCTTTGCAGGTTCAGCCAGCAGTGGAGCTGAGCTCGTGTCCCTGAGACACCCCCGGACACCCTCAGACACCCCCAGACACACACCCCCGGACTCCCCGCCGGAGGACACTGCCCCAGGCAGTCACACAGGCTGCCTCAGCCCCAGC